TTCTTGCAAAATTAGTAGTAGAAAGGTCATGGATGTTCACAATTTGTATCAGTAGTCAGCATGTGTTCTCTGTTGTATTTCTTAGAGTTACACTTCGCTTTCCTTATGTGATGTCAAACTGTAGACACGGAGTACTTTTTCAGTTTTCTGATGTATTTGTACTTCACTCTTTCCAGACATGAATTGTCAAGAATTAGCAATGGAACTTGTTTGGTACCTTTTTCAGCTTGTTCTCATGTCTGAAAATAATGACTCCTTTTTGTCACTGAGGAATTCCTGGAAAGTCAAGTGTTACAGTGTTTCTTCAGCTCATCTTACAGTAGGAATATTTTAATAGTGCTTCATGTTTTCAGCTGGAAAGTGATTTCTTTTTCTTTTAAAATTAATCAGAATCAAAAGCCTACATGAACCTGTACAGTTTCTCCATCAATTTTGTGTCAGGAAGACATAGTCAAGAAATAACCATATGGTTTTTAACTTGCCTATGCTATAGCTATGGTGATAGTAAGTTTTACTGCATTTTGAAACTCTAATAGGTAAGATACATTTTTGGTAGTAGATACTTTCGTTTGAATTTCCTTTATTGCTAATTTTCTGTTAAGGGGTAGTTATTTTTAAGGGTTTGAGCAGTACTTGCCAAATGGACTGATATCTGATGCTGAATAGTACCAGAGACATCAGATTTATGAAAGGTTTTCAAGGGCAAGAACTGCTCTATAGCATCAGCAAGACCATTCTCCTGTGATTGAGCCAATGCTTATGGATATCACACGATACCTTTTTTCAAATAATTGCAGTGATAAAACCTTCTGGAAAGAACTTACTTTGTCATCTGAAAAATGTTTTGGTAGCTCAGTTCTGAGACTGATAATTGCAAAGCAGAGTGCTGCTTTGGAGCATGCAAAGCTGCTGAGGATAACAGAATGGGTATTCCTCAGAGTCTAATTTCTTTGTTCAAAAGAGGACCACTTTGTTCAAAATGTGAGGGCTGCAGGCAGAGTTTTATTCTTTATTCAGAATAGAATATCCTTAGGATTCCAAATAGTTACAATAAGGCAGTCAGTTTTTTCAGCACTCTCTGGTGATTCTAGGGATAGTAACCAAATCTTCAGAAAATACAAAACTGGGAGGAGCTGCTGGCTCCCTCTAGGGCAGGGAGGCCCTGCAGAGAGACCTCAAAGGGCTGAGCAAACACCAGGAAGTTTAACAAGTGCTGTATTCTGTGCCTGACATGGGGCAGCCCTGACTGTACAGACAGACTGGGGAGTGAGATTCTAGAAAGCAGTGCCATGGAAAGGGACTTTGGGGTCCTGGTCAGTGACAAGCTGAACATGAGCCAGCAGTGCCCTGGCAGCCAGGAGGGCCAACCCTGTCCTGGGGGGCATCAGGCCCAGCATGGCCAGCGGGAAAGGGAGGGGATTGTCCCTGAAGGGAGGTTGTAGACAGGTGGGGGTCGGTCTCTTCCACTGGGCAGCAACTGACAGAACAAGAGGACACAGTCTCAAGCTGCGTCAGGGAAGGTATAGGTTGGATATTAGGAAAAAATCGTTCACCAAAAGAATAATAAAGTACTGGAATTGTCTTCTCAGGGAGTGGTAGAATCACCATCTCTGGATGTGTTTAAAAAAAGACTGGACATGGCACTTGGTGCTATAGTCTAGTTGAGGTGTTAGGGCATAGGTTGGACTTGATCTTAGAGGTCTCTTCCAACCTCATTATTTTGTGATTCTCTGATTCTGTCCTGCTCTGCTCTGCACTTGGGCAGCCTCACCTTTAGTGCTGGGGGCAGTTTCAGACCCACAATATAAGATATTAAGCTATTAGAGAGCATCCAAAAGAGACCTACAAAGATGGTGAAGGGCCTTGAGGGGAAGCTGTGTGAGGAGCAGCTGAGGGCACTTGGTCTGTTCAGCCTGGAGAAGACTGAGGGGGGCTTAATTGCAGTTACAGCTTCCTTGTGAGGGGAAGAGAAGGGACAGACCCTGTTCTCTTCTCTGTGGCAACCAGTGACAGGACCCAAGGGAATGGCCTGAAGTTGTTTTGAGGGAGGTTTAGGTTGGATATCAGTAAAAGTATATCTTCACCCAGAGGGTGTCTGGCACTAGAACAGGCTCCCCAGGGAAGTGGTCACAGCACCAAGTCTGACAGAGCTCAAGAATCATTTAGACAAAGCTTTGGGCACATGATGTGACTCTTGAGGATGGTGCTGTGCGGGGACAGGAGTTGGACTCAGTGATCCTTGTGGGTCCATCCCGACTCACCTGATTTTTTGATTCTTCATTCTGAGGAAGGTGAACTGCTGGGATTCATTGCTTCCTGCTGTCTTCAGAAGGCTTGAAGTACATCAGGTTTCAAATGAGAACCTTGTAATATCTAAGTATCAACACTGCTCACTTCTATTTTGTTATGATTTTTGGAAATTACTAGTTATCTTAAGAGATGACCTGTGTCATTGCTGAGATGCTCTGATACAAATGTGAAAACTTTGCAGGCAGTAAAGAGCTTCCTTACTCCATACCTTGCTGCTTCTTCCAGTGTCTGCTGAAAATGCCAGCCGAGTGGATGTTGCTTTCATTAATCTATCACTGTTCCTGATCTAGATACTTCTTTCTGAGCAAAAGAGATTTTTATCAAAAAATAACCTCCTCAGTATTTATACCCTCCAAGGCAGGCATTCTATCAGCTTGCTTTCTCAAGCAAAGGTGTTAAAGATAGGGAGAGCTCCCCATGGGAATTAGAAGGAATGAATGTATCACAGCAGATCTCATTTTGCTTTCTAAATTAATGTTATTGTTTGTATGAATATAGTCCCTCAATTTTAAAAATGGAAAGGAAAACGTGATGTAATTTGGGGGGAAATGACTAGGGATATCAGATTTCAAGGTGGGGAGCATAAAATCTAGTGTGGTTATGAGGAGGCTGCTCTTCTCAGCAGATTTGGAGTTATATTTGCATATTTAGATTTATCAGTAGGTGAATGATCATTTGCTTTGGAAGAATAGTTCCCTCAGTACAAGTGCTTGAATGTTAATCTGTGTACTGGTTATGGATGTGCTAGAGTTAATTTTCTTCATAACAGCTCCTGTGGTGATGTGTTTTCTGTATTTGTGGTGAAAATAGTGTTGATGACTCAGGCATATTTTTGTTATTGTTGAGCAGCACTTATATGGAGTCAAGGTCTTTTCTCCTCACCCCACCCTACCTGTGAGGAGACAGGGAGTGCACAAGGAATTGGGAGGAGACACAGCTGGGACAACTCACCTCAGCTGACCCAAGGGGTATCCCACACCATATAGTGTCATACTCGGCATGCAGAGCTGGGAGGAGAAGGAGGAAGTGGGGCACATTTGTCTTCCCAAGTCAATATTGTATGTGATGGAACCCTGCTTTCCTGGGGATGACTGAACACTGACTGCCCATGAGAAGTGATGAATGAATTCCATGCCTTGCTTGTGTGCATGACTTTTGCTTTACCTATTAAACTGTCTTTACCTCAACCCATGAGTAGTCTCCATCCTATCTTTCTGATTCTTTTCCCCCATTCCATGTGGAGGAAAGTGAGCAAGCAGCTGGGCTGCCTATTGGCATTAAACATGACATTTAGTAATGGCTATACTGTAGTTTATTAAAATGCTGTAGTGTTAGTAGCACCACTTGGGGAAAGGATTCAGGATAAACCTCTTGGATAACTTGCTTAAGAGTCAGATATCTGGAAAAGGCAGTGAACAGTGTCTCATTACACTGGTTATTTCCCTCTACTTTTCTTTAGCTGAGGAGAGTAATTGTGGATTTTTGTCTTTCTAGCTGTAGACTAACCCAGCAAGGGAACTTTACAAAAACACACAGTCACTTGTTCATGCCTGTCTATCTGGAAACTGTAATCATAGCCCATAGCAAACCATTCGCTCATGTAGTTAAGCATTTACATGGGAAAGCATAGCTGCCAAGGTGCACTGGAGCTACCGTTTGGCTATCAAGGACTGGTGGTTCAAGGATGAAGGTTTATTTTTTTCAGTTGTGAATTAATTTACTGACAAATTATGTGATGATAAAATGTTTTTCTGCTAAGCTGCAGTGGGATACATTTTCTTACAATTTAATTTCTTTTCTCTTGGCAGAATTATTTTATTATGAATCTCAGCAGGTTGCTTGTGCAGTGTCCACAGAATGTATATTAAATCTGAGGTTGCAGTATAGATACCATTTTTCCCCAGATGTCTTTTTTCCCACCCCTACATACAGCCATATCCCCTTGACTGCATAGAATTCATGAAACTAGAGATGTTGCTTTGCAATAGATAAAAACTTCTAGTAATAATTTATACTTTAGTATGTTTTTTTTAAGTTATTGAAGTAAACATGTATATATTAAAAAGATAATGGTTTTGTTAATAAGTAGATTATTGGCATTTATTTCTTTAATCAAATGATACTTGCATTTGACTAACTCATAGCAGATTGTTGGTGTCGTCAGAAATGGGCCCATAAGAAGAAGAGGCGTATAAGAATACTGATAATTCTGGAGAAATAACTGGTTACCATGTGTTTCTGCTGCTGTCTACTTCTGGCTTTTCTGTGTGATTAAATCGTAGCTTACTGATTTTAATGAGTAATTCAATTGCGGTGTCTCTGTGCCAGAAGAGACCTGCATTTTGAGCAGCCTTGTGACACTTGCATAGAAAGAATCTTGTTCTAAAAATTAATGTGTATGTAGTCTGTTAATGTACTGTTAATTTATTGCCAAAATTTAGTCAAATTGAGGACTTTAAATGTGCTAGTGAACTCTGGTGTTTTAAAGCTGTTTTTCTGATTCAAGTTTTGAACTTAAATATATTTATTTTCAGTTTCACCTGTGAGAGGTGGAGACTACTCAAAACAAACTTCCACGGAATATGAGGGAAACTGTCTCATATCAATTCGTTTTTGGGTTTTCTGAAGTCTTAAAGTATTTTTAAAACACTGTATTTCTTCCTATTAAGAAAAGTTTTCTTACCCTGCAGTGTTCTTGGCGAAATTACTGAAAAGACTTTATGGTGAAACTTCATCATCTTCTCTTGTTCAGACCTCAAGTAGAGAAGAGGAGGTCGTTCTTGAAAATCTTGGATCAAAATCTCAAGAAAAGAATTTGGATAATATTCAGATTTCATCAGCAGATGCTAGCACATCGACTACTACACCCTGTGAATCATTTCAAGGTGAGACTGTATTGTCATTTTTTCTGATAATATGCTTTTAAATATAGCTGCTTTATTTCCAAACAGTATAGTATGTTGTTTTTTTCATGTATTGATAACAACAGATGAATTTGAGCACTAGGGCTAGTGGTACTTGATACCTGGAACACTTGAGGTCCTGTGAAAGTCAAGAAATAGTCTTGGTGTATATGCTTGGATACAGCATTTAGCAGTAGTAAATATCAAAGTTCAGTGTAAGTTGTAACTGTCTTTGATGTAATGTCTCTTAAATAGTGATAAAATTATTTCTACTGGTGTAGCTCCGCTCAGCTGTTAGAAATGCAGATGGAGATTGGTGGGAATACATGATCCTGCCCTTGTGCTGCAACAGAAATCCCATGGGGAAAGCAGATCCATCAGAAGGCAAATATTAATTTAGAGACTGTGTTAATTTCATGGAAAAGAGCATTATGTTGTGTGTGTTTATGCAGTAAACATAGCACATGAATATTTGAACAAGTGAGTAACAGTCTATTTTTTTTCAAGTAAGTTGTAGAATGTGAATGGTGTGCCAATAGGTGGAGCTGGAAAATGAGGTAGCTATAATATTGCTTGTGGGTAAAAGGCTCTGTGCACAAGTATAGAATGAGTGTGAATTGCTTTGTATTTATCTAAAACCAGATTTTGCCATAACTACAATAAGGCTGTTAAACTGGCTTGAAATAGAAAGGTATGTTTCACAAGAGTATAAAAAGTTTTCTCTGGAGGAGATGGTCAGCTATCCTTACTTGCTCACAGGGAAGAACTGGTTGTGGATGTGGTCTGGCAAAGAAGAGTAATGTCTGGAAAGAAGTGAGCAGAATGATTAGTATTATGTGCTACATAAAAACAGATGTTTGTCTTGTTCAGGGATCTGCTTGGTAGGATTAATGAGAGGATTGGTCTGAATTGAAAGGAGATCTGAAGAGCCGGTTCAAGAATAACCTCTCAAAGCATAAGAATGGCTAATTTTGATGTGCAAAAAACTAAGCAAATATGGCAGGATGCCTGACTGAGCTCAGATGTGTCTAGGAGAGCAGCAAAGGGAAGGTGAAGGAGGGCTAGCTGGGACAAGGTAGGCACAGGAGCTGTGTCATCACTGTGGAAGCAGTCCCACAGTGCTTGGCAAAGAGCAGCAGAATGTCTGTTCACAGTAACCAGGTTCAACCAACAGTCCAGTGACACTGGGCAAGTTAATAGTGACAAGGCAGGTCTGAGGTCAAGTGTGTGTGTCAGTGTGTGCATCATTTGGTCTGAAATACCCCTCCAGTCAGTTTGGGTCACCTGTCCTTTCTGTGTCTCCTTCCACTCACGCCCAACTTCCTCACCAGCCTAGCAGTACAAAAAGGAGGAAAGGCCTTGGCTCTGTGCAAGCCCTGCTCAGCAATAACAAAAACATCACTGTGTTATCAGCCCTGTGCTCAGCACAAATCCAGAAAGCAGCCCTGGTACCAGCCACTGGGAAGAAAATTAGTACTACCCCTGCCAAAACCAGCACACCATTATTGTAATACAAGGTTGCATGGAAATTTCAACTTCTGTAGTTATATATGTTTTATACTCAATTTGGCTTTTAAGATTAGTACTTCTGGTACTTCTTTTGTGTAGTCAGTAATGAAAAGCATATTTTCAAAAGGTTGATAAAGCATTAAACTTATTCTGTACAACAATATGTCATAGCATTAGTAACTAATGGTTCTTTCAAAATAAGTAACAGGCTATTTATTTGCTCTATGATAAAGGTGTGCTAATTATACCCAACTACGGAGTAATTCCTTAAGCTAAAACTGTCTTTGTTTGTAGTGAATCTATACCATTCCGTATAAATCAGGGCAAAACTCACACTGAAATGGGAGGTGAGGGGGAGAATTTATTTTACCTTGTGATTTATTACTCTTGTGATTTGTTTATACCTGTGTCCTATTGCAATATTCTTCAAGGTAATGAAGGCTTTTTATTCAGAATCCTAATACAGGGAAAATACAGCTTATGGGATAGGGAACATGGAGTAAAAAGAACAGGTTTATATTTAGGATTTTCACAGCAGAACACCAAGGCTGTTTTTGAAACTAACAGCAGACTATAACTGAGTTTGTTTTCTGTTGGAGGCATGCAAATGCCACAGTAGTACAGAAAGGGTTCTGCCTTGTTTCAAATTCAATATAAGTACTTAAAAAAAAAGCTTTGTGTTAAACTCATAAGAAAAAAAGATAAATCAATTACCCATCTGGGAAACCAACACACAACCATTCTTTTCTGGTTGTGATTTTATTTAAATTTTACAAGCTCTTGCATTTACATGTGGTGATTTTATACCACTGGACACTGAAAGTACATGTTTATTGATAGGTAGAAGGTTTAACCTATAAACTGTGGCTTTGATGAAGGAAAAATATAAAAGCATTGATGGAATTTTTTGATCATAAACTATTTTAAGTGACTTCTTACTTACAAACTAAAGATTATGGGCATAACTACAAGACAGCTGATGATTTAAGTAGCAGTAGTCAAAGATGGCTAATTGAAAGAAATGGTGGAAAATAAGGGATTTGTTTTTTGTAGATACTAACTTTTTCCTAGTTTGAAAGTTTATTATTTCAGTCCTACAGAATACTACTAAAAATGACCTAATGTCAATAAAATGTTGAGGATTTCTTTTAAAATAAACTTAGTATTAAGTATTTTCTAGCATTAAATAACAGATCTTACTGTAAAACTCATCACAATGTCCTTATTTGCCTTTAACAGTTACTCTCAGATTGTGGAAATACCATAATCAATTTGTCTGAGCTAAACCACCACTACCTTCCACCTGCAAATTCCTGATCTTTATTGGAATGCAGTTTGCAGCATTGCCTTGAAATTTTATGGGCATGTCTCTATTAGCCTTCCAGATGCAGGCTTTTATGATCAGACTTTTATAACCTGTAAATATTTGCATTTACATGCCTTTCTTGAGACAAGATTCAAATTCAAGATGCTTAAGAAGATGGAACATCAGGACCTATGTTAATGATTTGCCCTCATTTAATTTTGGATAATTAATAATTTGGTATCAGAAAAGGTTATCCCATAAAGCTCCTCACATAGTTCTGGAACCAAAGCTTGCAATAAGACCCAGAGTAACTGGAGGTGGAAGGCAAATTCTGAGGGACACTCTCCTTTGTAACTGTAGAGAGGCCTTTTGAATGGTATTTGTGTTTCCTTCAGGAAGGTGGAGGTTCTGTTAGGCATGTGGAGGTGTTATGCTTCTTCTGGACCCCAAGAAGAAGAGTAGTCCTATCATTTTGCTTGAAGAGAGAAAATTTGGATTTTTTAAAACAAAAAAAAAAAAACTAAACACAAAAAAAAAAAAAAAAAAAAAAAAAAAAAAAAAAAAAAAAAAAAAAAAAAAAAAAAAATCAAAACTACAAAATATCCCCCCAAAAAAACAGCCAACCAAAAGGCCTACCATCCAAATAAACAACAAATCCAAACAAAAACAAAGCACTTGCCTCTGTGCAGAGTTTTAGTTCTAGGGCATAGATAGTAAGATATACCTTCCCTTTGGATTATAGTTGTACTAAATCAGACTTTTTTTCTCTTTTCTACCAAAATACTTAGTAAGAAAATTAATGTGACCAAAGTAGGGATTCCTATCCCCCAGAACAATTAGAAAAGACTTTCTAAATATTTCCCCCTTTGAAGAATTTGATTCACCCATTGCAAGAGCTATAGTTCTTAATTTCAAAAGATATAATGAAAGATTTTTTTTCCCTACTTAAGCATAAAATTAAAGGAGGTCAAGATTACCATCTTTATTACCTTAAACCATTTAAAAGTTCCACATAGGTAATGAACCTGATTCTTATGGAAGGCAAAGCATTAAAAGAGAGCAAATGGAGAGTTGAAAGTGCCTAAAATAAGAGAAATTTTCCCTAAACAAAGGATATTTTGTGACTATGCTGTCTTAAAAATGCTTTACACCTTGCTGTATCACAAAAAAATGTATCTGGCAAAAGACTGAGCATCTCAAAATATAAATTGTTCAGGTGGTTATGGGCTTTGGCTAAATTCTGTCCCGAGAATTGGTTTTGTTAGTTTTTGACCTTTGTTAGGGCCAGATCTACTTGCAACAGGAATTAATATAATTAAAAATGTTTCTTGTGAGGTCTGCAGTTCTGTGATTTCTTTACTTTTTTTGTTGATATTTTAAAACCTCAGTAATTATTTCTAATAGCTTTGTAGTATATATTCAAAAGCTACATGCCTGCTTCTAAATAGGGATTTGCTAGTTGTAGAATTGACTTTTTCACAGAAACACAGAATGGGTCAGGTTGGAAGGGACCATAGTGAGTCATCTGGTCCAACCTCCCTGCTCAAGCAGGGTCATCCTAGAGCACATGGCACAGGATTTCACATCATCTCTGGGCAATCTGTTCCAGTTCTCAGTCACCCACACAGTAAAGAAGTTCTTCCTCATGTTCAGGTGGAACTTCCTGTGCATCAATTTTTGTCCACTGCCTATTGTCCTATTGCTTGTAAATGTTCTCTTGACACCCCACGCTTTAGATACTTACACACATTGATGAGGTCCCCTATCAGTCATCTGCTCTTGAGGCTGAACAGGCTCAGCTCCCTCAGCCTTTCCTAGTTTGAGGAAATTACCTCCTTAGTCTCTGACCTTTTTCTTGGTCAGAATTATAACTACTTTTTATAAGATTTGGAATTTACTGATCAGTATTTAGCATCTTCCTAATAAAAATGAAAATTTCAGAGTTGCTGAAGAAGGATAATTGCATTCAAGTTAAATATATGTCAGTATAAATCATGCTGTGCCACTTTTGATTTTTGCTTTTTCTGTAATTGTGAAAAAGGAATTTGAAATGCAGAGAGCCTAGCCAGAGTTTTGGATCTTGTGGAGATAACTAAAACTTTCATTCTCCTTCATTTATTTAACTAAGAAATAGTGAGGAATGTTACTTAGCTATTGCTAGTAATAG